AGATTATTTGTCATTACTTGTGACAACGAGTTGCAAACGAATCATTTCTAAACCGGTATATCCAAGTACAATTCTGAACTGAAACTTAATGAAGTTTTGAGTACTTTTATAGCAAATACTGTAACGGGCAGAACTTACATAGGCCATGTGTGAATCTGACTTAACAAAAACTATTGATTCATGCCCTCGAAAACGAAGCTGTGTTTCTTTGCAGCTAGCTGTTACGTGGGCAATTGAACACAAAGACAAGTCTCTCCGTTCGCCAAATCTTGTTTTCTCTCGCAACATAATTTTCTCGTATGTGGACACAGGTCGTCGCAACAATGCTCCTCGTCTAAATCGTTGTTGACATGTTAACCTGTAAAATAGACCTGTAATATAGAATGCATGCCTCCCTATTCGAAACAGAAATAGGAAACAGAAAAGGGTTGCTGACTCCACATCTGATAAACATGGTGGGTGGTCAGCTAGATTATAACGTAGTGACCTGTATAGTGTAAAGCGGTACGTCAAGCAATCGTAGAATAACACCTTTTTTTATCTTGAACGCGGGTGCTTTACTGCAATTTCCGCCAAGTAATGATGTGTAATATACCTCCATGATCGTTTTCCCATTATTCAAATTAATCGATTATCACAACTCCATGACGGTCCGAACAAACAGGGGGCTTGCTTAGCTGTCCGCCTGGGTAGCTAGTGCGCATCTCCTTGAGTGCGTTGGTATGGCAACAATGATTACACGGCCATCGCGAATCCGGATTTCGGCGATGGCAAATGGTGAGTATGGATTAAATCAGGTCACTATATAGTTATATAGGTCTACTAGGAAAACCGCAAATGACTTCAGCAAAATCTAGGACCTTCCTTGTCCTTCATGTTGCAGCTTTTCAAAGCTGTAAAAATAGCCATTTACGTTTAAAAAAATCTTCCGGAATCGTTCAAATGCGTTTTTAATCCAGAGTGAGCGAACGCGACATCCAACGTGCGGTTAATCTCTGCATGTTTACATCTTGTTGTGGCAAACGCATTGTTTCAGGATGTTCACAGTTCTTACCGTTCCTGTAACCTGAATTTAATGGTCGTCTATCATCATTTGGTAAACCTTTCCGATGTTATCAGCAACTCATTGGCCAGCTCACACCCTCGTCGTTAATTTACCTGCTACGACCACGTCAAAATTCCATTGCCCGAAATTTGACGGCAGCAAATAGTAGTGCAGAGATGCCGTAAGTGTCGTTCTAATTCGCATAAGTTTGCTGCCTTTTAGTGATTATGATAATTGTTTTTCAAGAATTAGAACTAAGTGACGACCTAATATTTATTTTTTCCCATTTGTGTAGGGAGGCTGACATCGATTGACAAAGACGACCGTTCGACTATTCTATATATGCACATCTATATAAACAAGATATTTTTCATAAGTAGCGTGATCTTTATGCCAATTTTAGGAATTTTTCCTCGTATATCAGTTATTGAAACCGAGCTTGATATATTAGATATCGTAACGTAAGCACATAAACCATTGTATGATTAACTGAATATTAACAACACAAACGACATTATTTTTTTGATGGGATCAGTTCAACATGTAAAACACTCGAGACTACTATATACATATATATATAGCATAGCTAATTGTTTAGGGCTTCCGATTCAAGTTTTGAAAATCTCCTTGTATTGGTGATGCTGGCATCAAGTACGAGTTTATCGCTTCGTAATAAACTCTTTGTTTAGCATATGCACAAAGGCGACACGTTGAATTCTCTTGGATATAATGAGTGAGGTGCGATATCATTGTGAAATGTATCAAACCGTAACTTGTATGCAGATTTGCTTGCGTTAAGTGCGCACCTATACGGTGTTGCAAGCTGAAAACTATTGCAAATCTGAAGTCGAATAAGGAAGACCTACCTATTGTCCATTTTCGCGCTTCGTCTCGAACCCTAAGCGACAGCAAACGAAGAATGTTAACCCTATTATGTCTGAATAAGTAGTCTAGTGCTGTGGAGCTGTCAAATGGCCACATACAATACAATGTAAGCAAGTGCAACTGTTTCTGCACATGTCAAAACTTTGCCTCTAGTAACTGCGCATCAGAAGACATGAATATTCTTATGTTTTCAGTTAGTGCGTGAGTGGAAAGAGAGACTTCTTTCTCACGTAGCTGGATAGAAGTCTGTCGCCAAAATTCATCCGGACACGCTCCGAAGCCTCTGACGATATAGGCCTTGCTAAAAGTGTTTCGCTCACCGTATTTCCGGCATTTCATTAACGTCTCAAAAGTAGCCACAATTAGGATGGCTCATTTTTAGACATATCTACTTGATCATGTGCATCCCCGTTATCGTCCAGTATTTTTCTTCAGTTACCTCTCATTTCTTAACACCATCAAAAACGCCTATTATTATTCGCTGTTAAGTGGCCATCGGGCATACGACTCAGACATTGCTGCTAAACGGGCGAGCGGTATGAAGCTCACAGACTGTGATCCAGAGAAAGTGATGCGTCTGCAGTCAATTGCTATCCAGCTTCAGTGCGCCCCTAAGTAACTACGAAGCAACGACCCATTATCTGTACAGAAAAGGGTGAAATGTGTCACACTTTCTAGGTTAGCGGAATAGAGTAACGCACGATGACCTTTCACAGGTTGCCGTTCATACAAATGCTCTTATCATTCAGCAGTGTCGTTTAGCTCCGTGACTTCAAGCCATAGGCCTAAATGACATCGTTAAATCAAATGCAAGGTTTCAAGGATGCTGAATCAGGTCGTAGTGCAGAATACCTGCATCTGCAATAGTTTTGCTAAAAACTCGACCAAAGCAAACGGAGGCCGGGTCTTCATTCCGCAGCTGGAGAGTCTGTCGAGAAACATGTATGTAGCTTCTTTTAGATAACTGAATCATAAATACTAGTTGAAGTTACAATGATCTACAAAGAGGCTCGATAACTATGTATTTGAGCCGCGTCGAATACTACCAATTTTCAAATATTTACTCTATTCGTACTTTGCCAAATGCTTTTCTACGGACCGATCGATATTAGATCAAGCTGCAACAGCCTATGTATGGCATGACCATTTGGAAATATAATCGGCACTTTTCAAGCAGAAAAAATTACCGGGCGTCGCTATTCGATTACTGTTAATACGCAAAATCAATTTTGAGCATGGGATGGCATGGCCTCAACTGTTACCGGTGAAGTCTTCTTTAAGCTATCAACGAGAGGACTTAAACGTCCATTACGTTTTGCATATTACCAGCTAAACTTACTTATGACTTGACTCCATTGTGACGTTACGTTATAATCAGTAGTCATTGCTATTTAATGCTTTTTTTAGAAAGGCCAAACAGAAGGAAGAGGGAAAAAATTAATTCGCTGGGAACTCTTCAAGTCATCTGCGCTGCGGGATCGACTCAAATTGTTGACGCCATTTCCTGTGACGGTGACCGGCTTCAGTTGCGCAGTCATTAAGAAGTGGGTCTGTGCGCTCGATCTTAAGTGAAAAAGCTGATTTATGTATACGGCGTAAGTGTCGTTAAGTTAGATAGGTCGGCATAGATGACGCCGCCACCTATGATCGTAGGTTGATAATAACAGGTTAGCTAACTGAATTGATATCTAAATGTTACATATTATCGTTTGGCTACCCAGAAGTTGACTAAAACATGTTGTCTCATTGTAAAGGGAACGTGGGTTGTAAGCTAATCGAGTGCAAGCGGCCAAATATCATCAATGAATTTTATTAAATAAAAGTAAACAGTCTTTGCATAAAATGCTGGAAGAGCACAATCGTGTCCTGCGGATTGATTCCACTTTTACTGTTCATTCAATACACGCTGTTCACCTGCGGACATTGAAATATGATCAATTCTGATTGATACTTGGCTCCCCTTTTGTTAACAATTTGAAAGTTGTTTGGCTGAACTCATCTTTTGCGAGGAAACTGAAGGGGCTCAGTAGTCGAATGAAGCTAAATTCAAATCAGCCTGCTCGCCGGTTTTAAGTACAAAGAAAAAACACATCGTCTTGAACAACTCCGCTTGAAACGCCAGCTAGAATGCATCAGAGTGTTTACTTAGAATTCTGCTCAAATATATCCTCCTAGTTCAACATACGGTTTTCTTCACTACGCGAAGCACGGCAAAAAAATTTGAATTCGTATTGATTAAGACTAGTAAATGAAGGTAACACAAATGGAAAAATAATGGTATAACAATGGGATAATCTTCGAGGTAATGCTTGAGGCAAGTTGAAATAACGTCGCCTAATCGAAATTACGCTTTGAGCATTTGAGGCCTTTGGCCATACCCGTCAACCTAATCACCAAGAGCGGATTCAACGACATGTTTATAATGTTCAGAAGTCTTGGAAAATATGATGTTGTTCTTTAGATAGTTGTGGCGTATAGCGGAGCTGCCATCGGTGAGCGACACGGTGAAAAATCATTTTCTAGGTTGAATAAATAACACCATCTGCAACACCGTGTCATCTTTATGAATGACAAGCTAAGGGATTGTCATAAGGATGATAACTTTTTTTATTCGAGAATTCTGTGATAAGTAATATATTTATTTTTGAGAATACTTTTGCAGTCGCTCAGTATTGGTAAAGAATTTGGTCACGTCTCTAAACGTCCGAAGGTACATCGAACGAAACGAGCTGTTTACGCAGAATACTTGCATATTCATTACCCTACTATAATTACATGTCCTCGGTTCGTTGCATTTCTAGAGATAAATACAGATTTTTGTTAGCTCTATAAATTATCATCGATCAGTTACGAGGTTTAGGTCCGTTGTCGTCATTAGGCATAATTCCATCAGGCGGTTGGCTGGCATTCCCATAGCCGGGTTCGAGCCTAGGCCACAACATGTCCCTAGGATTAGCACGTCAACTTATCGCGACCAGATTAACACAATCATCTCCGTTCCTTTATAGATATATATCCGCATATGAAGCGCTAAGATATGCAGTACCATTGATAAGGCTAAAATTTTCTTCAAAGAATATTCACAAATCAATATTAAATCAATCGTCCTCAAAAATATATAAACGATTATATGATTGTTGTCGGCTTTTTTAATTCCTGTTAAACCCTAAGCAAAAAAGAAACTCTTTCCTTTATATTGTGTGCTAATTGCAGACTTAATTTTATTAGCGTTACAAAGAGCAAATATAAGCTATGATTTGTGAGTAAAATACTCAACATCAGAATAGGTACTGGATATTAAACGAATATTTTGAATACGTACTCTGATTTACTGTTTGGGTTTACTCTAAGAATTGAATTTGTTTTTTAGCCATATATCCCATGCATTGATTTGTTTATGATATTTCGTTGAAGATTAATTGACACATATTTTGTCCCCAGTGTCATAATGACTTAAATGAAAACAATATATAACAGTTTTAAATCCTGCTAGCTTTCATGTAACAAAACCTAACATTACTTTTCCTGTTTAGTATAAAACTTTTTCAAATTCCTCAGATAAAGCTCTCGAATTGAATTCACTCAAAAAGCATGCAGCTCTCATAAGTGCAACACTGAAAATGAAGACAAGGCCCGAAAAACAAAAGGTACATTTCTAGAAAAATACTATCAGGAAATGATGACAGCTCCATTGCCGTTGGTGTTTGCTGGAACGATCTTTAAGAAGAGCTCTCCACTTCAAGTATCGCTCGTTACTGATGTCACGACGGCTAGCGGAGCTGACGTGTGGGTCCACTTCGGATAGCTGAGTGTCACCATGTGCTCGGGTGGGACCTCCGAAACCTTATGGCAAATGTGTGATTTTTATGAGTCGTATGCTAGAGTTGCCTTGGAAGTCTTAAAGCTAATGTTGTCCCATTTTATTGCATAAAAAATACATTTGCGCTTAGTTTAGACATGCTAAATGTAGAAGTGGAACAAATGTCGGATAGCATGCAAATATCATATAATCCTTTTAGAATTTTTATGTGATGGCATGACACAGTGCAACCATATGTTCTGCACAACGTACCGAGTACAATATTCAGAATAGGGATTTAAAAGCATGTTTATAGTTTTGGACGGAGCAGGTCCGTGGCTAAAAGTGGCACAGGGATAAGGATAGGCTTACAGCTGAAACGGCGTAACATCCATATAAATAATGCTTACTTGTGTGTATTCGCTATCATATGACCATTGCGCAAATTATCACAATCAACCTAAAAGTAACGCTAGATTCCTTGCAATCGTTAATTTGTGTTTATTTTATCAGGTACAGTTTGCAATTTCAATATGTAATCACTGAAGTCACTACCAAACCTGAAGGTGGAATAGCTATGGTACATACGATGGATCCATATTTGACACATTCTCTCAGCTGACTTCCTTCTACGCGGCCTATCTAGAAGGCCACTGTTTCCGAGATTGAGTCAATTGACTTTCTATGCTACGAACCTGTGTGCACGCTATAATGATTGGCATCTACGACTATACTTGCTTCCCATTGGAAAATAAACTAGATTCCACAGAACGAACACGTAGATAGACCGATGCCACCAACTGGTCGATAATAAACTCTGTAGCATTCTCAATCATGTACACGGCTCTGCATAATTAATACTGTGATGCCACTCTATAGAATAATATTAATCAATACTTGCTGTGTGCATACATCTGTTAGAAATACATTGAATCGCGGCGGCCCTACCTGAACTTCACTTTAAGGCTACTTTAATCTGCGCTCTGAGGTCGACAGCTATTCACATTTTTTTTTTGCTTGTTGTCATGCTTTCATGTTTCTATAGCACTATAGGTAGGTAACGTGGGACGATTTTATTTTAATCATTATTAAAAAAACACGAACTGACACTATTGTGTACTGACCTTTCGACATACTCCTGTCACCTGCTCTGACGACTCACGAGCGGGTGACACTGTCGTTTCTTCATTTTCGCAGTCTGAACGCGTGTCCGGAATGGAACGACAGAGGCAATAAAGGTTAGGTTTGCATTGCCTTTCAGGTCGCATCCACTGAGAGGAATTCACAGACGATTGCTGGCATTCATCACACGACTGACCCTCATCTACACAAATATCAGAACCATTTATTTTTCCTTGTTTAACAAAATTGTATCACTGAGTTTAGTTAATTAACAGGCCGTTCATGTGTTGCTTACAAGAAGAATCTCTAACTTGACGTGAAAGTTTTCGATATCAGGTACGCTAAGACGACGCATTAATACAATTTTTCTTTTTTTGATTTCAAGAAATGTAGTAATTTCTCATCCAACAATGGGAAAGGTATATTACACAAACATACTTTTTATCGTACCACAAAGCAGTAAAAAACAGAGGTGAAGCTTGAAAAAGCTTAGTCAACTTTTACGTACAATCGAGTCCAACCAAAAGACTGTAGTCACAGCTACGATATATCGAGGAAAACTGGTCAGTGCTGTAGCCACAGATCGGTTGCCTATGTATGATAATACGAAGGTGCCACGCACTGCCAAAAAAAAGTTGGCAAAGACTGATATTTTGATCGACCTTGAGTTGGGCCTAATCGAAAAGGACGGCGCAGATAGGACTAAAACCGTAGGTATCGAGAAGAACTAAAACAAAATATAAAACTGAATTATGTCTAGGCAGGTCAAGTCACTGGCCATATATGGCAATAGCCTAGGACCATTAAAAACGGATTTAACATCGCCTCTACCAAGTCTAGACGTTCTGAAAGCGTGATGCTACTCGAAAAAGGCGCAGTAAGCTTAGATCCGTTCAGAGTGTCCATCAAATAAGAAAAGTTAATTCAAGGATAATCTTTTCTGACCTAAATAGAAACTCCAGTTGAAACGTAACCACAAATAGCAACACGATAAAGAAAACATGAAAAACGCTCAACGTTTGGCAGTAACAACAGTCGTAGCTGTCTGAGTATTTCCTTGGTGCGAATCTAGACCTACGAAAGCTGACAGATTGGGGTTAAAAACTAAGCCTCGTCTTACCGTCAGTGCAGATTCTGGGCAAATCATGCTCTACGAATCCATGCTGAGTGGTTTCACTGATTTTTACTTTACCTTAACCTTTATATACATTAAATGGAATTCACAATAATGATTTTCTTCTCTAATTAAAACTTAGCAAACACTTGAAGGGAAAACCATTTGAGACGATCGTAGAAATCAAACAAAAACGAACGAGAGCTGAAGACAAGCCCTATAGTTGACTTTAAAACCTGTTTTAACATTTCAAGAAGGCACTGAACCCAACGGGACTTACTTCAAGGAGGACAACTCGAATTTGAATGATCTGAAATTTTTAGTTGATGCAGATACAATAATCGATACTTTTTTAAACATAATATTACAAATATTTTTCTGTAACTCGGACATGTATTTCACAATTTAGTACATTCTGTTGAATCTATTATTGTGGCCTCGAACTATGCGCTTTTACGTGGATCTCTTTTTTAAGTTGAATGTTTAGTGTTGAAGATACATGCATTTGTAATGCATGTAGGCCCTCACAGAAATCATTGACAACTATTTCGTCCTAGCGTTCCCTGGTTGGACACTCTTACGATTATCTCGAAACAGGTTGCCATTTTAATAAACACCTAAATCTATTCTAATCTCTTTTATTCCTTTTGCCCAACCCAGTAGGCTATATTGCTTGGCCGTGTATACTTCAAAACAAGGATCGCGCTTTGTGGAGCGTTTCATTCAACACGTATTCTTTCGAACCCATATACTATTATCAATGGAAAATCTCTCTTGAAATGTAACTTGCCAAATAAGCTGATCGAGACAAATGCCCTTCAGCAGTTCAACTCTATGGAAAACTTTTCTATGGAAAAATCGAGCTTCAGGAGCACATGATAACAACAAACAACGTGACGAAATCTTCTAAGAACAAAAATTTGTTCCATGACAGATCCACACAAAAAACCCATGACAGACCACGATGCCTTTTTGTTCTGAGAAAACCGTTCGACAGATGCTGATTATACTCATAGAGTATCTACGTTTAATAATCTACAATTCATATTTTTAGACTCCTTGATAAATAAGTGAAGTAAAGGGTGAAGTGAAAGAAGTAAAAAACAAACATTTCCTGAATCCACTCGTTGTAACTGAGCACAGGAGGTTATTTCAGATAAACTGAATAAAGGGATGGCGAACATGTATTTCAGACGATTAGCGTTAATAAATAATGTTTTTATATGCGCAATAACTGGCAAAAAATACACAATATCATATTTTTATGTGTCATATATATATATATATATATATATATATATATATATATATATATATAAGGTTGTTTTTAATAGAGCTTTATTTTGAAAGAAAAACTCGTATAATTGGCTTGATGACTTGCAATGACTTTTAGTTAATGCAATTATAGTACTTGCTTATGAACAATTGATATAATGAAAAATATGTACCTCTGAATCACATACTCATACTTTTAACTGTTAGAGCGTCGCACAAACCGCATTTCGCGTATAATGGTAGGTACCACCCGACACTCGCTTGACACCGATGCCTTGTTGTTATACTTAATAAAGTATTTTGGAAATAAAATTTGGAATAAAATATTTGGAAAAAATGCACATCACTTAAATTCATACCTGTCATATTATATAGAAATCAACTTAAAATATGGAATTCAAAGCAAGCTAAAATCAATAATGCAGCTAAAAAAAGGTTAATGAAAAGAAAGGAGTTAGCAGAAAGCTTACCAATGAGCGTTACACAAATTGGGCAGCAGTTACACACATCGAGGTAATCATCAGACCAGAGTCGTGGTAGCGGGCAGATTTCTGTCATGTTTTGACACGAAAAGCAAACTGTGGGGCACGTAAAAGCTCTCACTAAGCTTGTGCACACCCCAAAAGCCAGTATAACTCGTTGAAAAGTTAACGACATTTTTGCAGTATGAGCAGATTCATACTACGGCGTTTTCCGCTACCACCAAGCGTTGTGGAGCCGGGCGATAGAACTAACAGCCGAAAGGGTTTTCAGTCACGGTATTGAATACAATTGGATGAAGGCAAATGCCTAAATTGTTCCATTCAAGTGAATCTATTGTTAAATAACGTCACATACTAGAGAATAAAGTCGATAGTAAAACGTCGTTCGCCGCCGGTCCATGCATTTAGCTTTAGGGCTCGGTCACAGACAAAGAGCTGAGGACGAAAGTGCACAAATACCGCCATTGCGCGCATTCGCAAACTTATAATAATAGCTTTTTCGAAGACAGTCGCGATATTGTCGGACGAATTTGAAGGTACCTATACACAACGGCCGTCCTTTAATAGAACCAAATGGTAATTTTGCAAGTGTTGTTTTTGCTAATCATTGAAATTTTCAGTTCAATTGTCAGGAGCATTTTGCGAACGAACGACGAAAATACTGAGATTAAGCATATAAGGTTAAGAAAAAAAATTCAATGAGGTTCAGCAATGAGGCTAAAATGTCGATTTTCGCACAGCTAGGGAAGTTCATGAGATGGCTGTTTTGATAATTCGTACCGCTAATAAAAAAGCTAGTTACAGTACAATAAAGAGCAAAGTGGGAGGGTCCTGCGAATTTAACCCATAGGCAAAAAATGTATTTCAGTGAAAGGTGTGTAAAAGTAGAATAAACTTAACCAATTAACTCATATAAAAATAACAACTTCTCTTCATATGTGTGTTGAAGCATTCGATTCAGATGGCCAACGAGTTTAGGCTCCCGTCGATACCCTTGCACCTATTGCAAAAAAGTAGTTGGACACCACAGAAATTCACTAAATAAATACACAATTTTGAGTTTAACGTTCCTTGTTGCAGTTAACCGTTGCTTTTAGCTGACCTTCACCACGAAATTAAGTATGTCAATGCCTGGGTTCGAATCTGAAACACTTCACGAAATTACTCCTAGGTTTATTAAACTGCGTCATCACCCCGTAATAACATCACCATACATATTATATGAATTATGTTCGTGTGAGAGCATATGTCAATGACATTATCTTCTACTGAAAATCAGTTTTATGCCAAAATCAATACATTCTATATGAAATTAGTAATTTTTTAAGACCGTTAATGAAGCAAACTTTCGTCCAAAATTATATGTAAAACTTATAAAAGACATCTTTAAGCACCCTTTGTTGTCAGACGTTGTTTATATGTCTGCCTGGGCGTGTTCGTGGACTTAAACGAACATTTTTAAGGCTTAAGCATAGCAAAGTGGTAATCGGATTAGATAGGGAACTCCGCGTAATTACAGCTATGGTGCTCCATATGTAAGCATATGGAAAAGCGCAAGAAAAACTTTGCCTAAAACCTGTGCAAGGCGTAATCAACGCCTAGAAGCTATATATATATATATATATGTA